ATTAAGCCAAAAATTCCATCCGTTTATCTGCTTTAGTTTGAAAGTTGCGATTTTTTTTCTGGAGGCACGTCAAGATTAAAGCATTTTTCTCTTAGTTTCTTTTAAATTTTTTCAAAAATTCACTTGTGGTTTGATTGACTCGGGCTTTACATGGTCGAAACACTGAAGTTTCAGTTGTGTGTGGAAAAACTTTAAGGCTGGTATTTGCTGAAGTTTGGGAGTTATCAATTTTTACATTACGAGATGCGAAAAGTTAGTTTGAAATTTTTTTAAAAATTCCGAATTTTGCTAGTGTCCCTGATTTTTGTTCAGAAAATGCTCTAAAGCTTTGTCTATATTCGGCCAAAAATTCCAGTCGTTTGTCTGCTTTAGTTTGGAAGTTGCGATTTTTTTTTCTGTAGGCACGTCGAGATCGAAGCAATTTTTTTCTTAGCTGTTTTGAAATTTTTCAAAAATTCATTTGAAGTCTGATTGACTCGGGGTTTACATGGTCAAAACACTGAAGTTTCAGTTGTGTGTAGAAAAAGTTTAAGGGTGGTATTTGCTGAAGTTTGAGAGTTAACAATTTTAACATCAAAATATGCGAAAAGTGAGTTTGAAACATTTTCAAAAATTCCGAAGAATTCTGAGGTCCCTAATTTTTCTTCGGCAAATACTCTGAAGTTTTGTCAGTATTTAGCAAAAAATGTCAGCAGTTTATCTGCTTTGGTTTGGAACTTGCGATTTTTTGTGCTTGGAGCTCCGATATATTTTTTTGAAGAAGCTGCACAAAAACTGCATCTGAAAGCGCTGAAAATTTAAGGGAGACTGATTTTGAAAAAATTGGACCTTCAGTCAATGTTCCATCCTCAGAGACAAAACTCTATACCCTCATGGACTTTTAGGTGAGAACAGATATAAGAATCACCTGAAACAGTGCAAACTGTGCTTTTCCATTAACATTGGAAATTGACCAATTTCCTCTTGTACGATGACAGATTCGCGCTAAAATGAGAGTGATTTTCCATTAAAGCCTTGCAGGTTACCAGTAACCGACAATGTGAAATCCCCGCATGGAACAAAGTGGTTCAAGTCCAGCACTGGCGCTTCAAACGTCCGTTCAAGTTGATTAACCTGCGTATTGGCAATCTGACCTAATCTTAACCCTGTTTTGAATAAACAGTGGAATACAAGGATTCCGATTTTATAGAAATTTGCAAATAAAATCATGGTTTCGAAATGGGTCGTTCACTTTTCCGTTTCCGTCGTTTGTTTGATTTTCGGCGGATTTTGAGCGGCCGAAAGTGAATCATGAGCGCGGGGAGTTGAGGACACAATACGGTCCTCAACAATAACGCAAGAGCCGATAAGAACGACGAGATGCAGCAAAATAGAATATGCAAATGCCGACATACGTGACGATCCGTATCTATGCTAAACGTCCCGGTGTTCGAATGGACACAAACGGCGTCGATCAGATTTCCAATTACATTCGAATTATTGTTGGGCGAAAGCAGGAAAAGATCCCGATAAAGCACTGCGGACAATGCGAGAAGAAGTTGGGCCTGGACCGAACAGGTCCAGATCGAGACGCGACTTGTCAGCCATCTGAAGAGTCGAATGTTGTGGGAAAAACAATGGAATTTTAGGCGACAAGGAGGACGTTGGAGCGAAATGGGGGCGCGCATGTCACAGCCGATAATAAATAATGCATAAGAATGTGAAAAAGCACACAGTCCGGAAGATCATTATTCAAAAGCGCAGATATCCAAATTTATGCCCTTTTCAGGAGGGTCCATAGACCGATTTAAATTTAAAATCGATTCCACGAGCTCGAAAAAGTGGCGGCGTCGTTATTGCCCACTGAATAAATCCTGATTCGTCGATGGTTATCTTGACGGTTTCGGTAATCGACGGTAACCAAAAATAAATCCATTGTCTCGAAAACGCCATCATTAATTTCGAAAATAGTCTGCGAACCAATCGGGGTCTGCTCAACATCCAACTACCATCCTAATCCACACCATTTGCGGTCTGACTATGGAAGCGCGCATTTTATCAACGTACCTACTCTGTACGCAGACCAGAGCGTGATTAATCGACGATAATTAACTCCCGTATTATTTATTGCTTAGACAAAAAATGTCACCTACAAAAATTTAAATAAGGTTATCTAACCTGTTCGCATTATAATAACGCCCACTCGGGCTGCCGTTTCTCGGGGTCATGGATTTGAATAATAAATTGTCTTTATTGGGAAGACTGCGTCACTGGGAAAGTGTTGAAAGCTGTGTTTGCCCGAAAACTGATCCAAATTGCCTCTGTCTGAGCCATTTATATTCATCACTTCCATCCAAAGGGACCAGAAAAACCGTTCGCGAGAATCCGGAGAAGCTTCTTTTCTCTGATTGATGTCGTCTGCTTTCATTGGTCTACCTTGTCCTCTTTGGTCACTTTTCCTGCTTCCAATGATCCGTCGGTCAAAGTAGGTGAAAAAATCGTCTTTGGCTTGTTTCGGGTGGATTCTTTCGCGCTTGACTCGCCTGCGGAACATACATGTTAGTTAAACTGACCACGTTTGCTTCACGCAAAGCCTAAATCAATCCGCTTCTATCCCAAAATTTTCCTCAACAAGGATTCTAGTTTTTTAAAGTAAAAAACGTGCGCCGGAGTTCCAAAAATATACTTAGTTTTTCGCATTTTGTTAGTGAAAAAATTGACATTCAGCAGCATCAGTTCTGGTGCGATTCGAGGTCATTACGCATTCATTTTTTTATTTCAAATGGAAAACTTACATTGAAATTGTACGCTAATGCAAAAACCATTTTTTTTTAAGTTTTGGCTTTAACTTGAGCGCTAGAGCGGGAAAATGGTACCAAGAGCAAGCAAGTTGTCGCTGCCAATCCAAAAACTCGATTTTTTGAGACCACCCTGTAAATACGGTAGGGAGTCGAAGAACGCAAAAATTGCTTCGAGCTATTTGCTTCATTTTTCAACTTTTAGCGTTAAGATGCAAAAATGTATGCCGAAATTCCGAAATTTGGCATTTTTTCCATTTGCCACCCTGTAGAAAATTTTTCTGCAGCGCTTAATTTTTCCTGAAAACACTGACTAAGAGAAAACAAATGGGCCTCAAGAACGCTTCAAACAGAAACCAAATCGCCCCAAGCAATCAGAATATATCCGGTTGCAAAGTGATGGCAAAATGGGTAACATTCAGTTTGTTGGGCAGTTTAGCAGGAAAAAGTCAGAAATTACTCACGTTGAAAATCCCCAAATATCAGCAACGGTCGCACAAATCGCATTCATGCTAAGGACCTTTTTGAATGCACATGGCCTCAGCTGTATTTGGGTTCAAAAATTTCCCGAATCGGACTAGGGCTTCTCCCCCTTTTAAGCATCTGAAGTTGTAAAAAGCTGCAGCTCTTGAATGGTTGAAAATATTCAATCAGGCGTCATGACTTTGTCGAAGCCTGTCGAACAGGGAGATGGACTTTCTAAAATGGCAAACTTACATTGAAATTGTATGCTGACACAAAAACCACCTGTTGAAACGACTTTTGCATAAAATGTTTGTCGTAAATTGTCTATAAAGTTTTGGCTTCAACGTGAGCGCTAGATCGTGAAAATCGGACCAAGAGCAGACAAGTTGTCGCTGCAAGTCCAAAAACCCCATCTTTTGAGACCACCCTGTAAATACGGTAGGGAGTCGAAGAACGCAAAAATGGCTTTGAGCTATTTGGTTTATGTTCCAACTTTTGGCGTTAAGATGCAAAAATTTATGCCAAACTTCCGAAATTTGGCATTTTTTTATTTGACACCCTGTAGAAATACTGTCTGCAGCGCTTATTTTTTTATCAAAACATTGTCTAAGAGAAGAAAAATGGGGCTCAATAACGCTTCAAACATAAACCAAATCGTCCCAAGCCATCAGAATATCTCCGGTTGCAAAGTGATGGCAAAATGTGTAACATTGATTTTGTTGGGCAGTTTAGCAGGAAAAAGTCAGAAGTTACTCACGTTGAAAATCCCCAAATCTCAGCAACGGTCGCACAAATCGCATTCATGCTAAGGACCTTTTTGAATGCAGATGTCCTCAGCTGTGTTTGGGTGCAAAAATTTCCCGAATCGGACTAGAGCTTCGCCCTTTTTTAGACATCTGAATTTCCTATTTTCGAAGACGTGGGAGCTAAAATATGAAAACGTCTAAAACGGTTTCGAAACTGTTCAAAGCTGTCGAAACCTAAAAAATGTCCATAATAAATTGGAAGTTTTTGCTAGAGCTGCTCGAGAACTCTCGTTTCCTCAGGTTGGGTTGTAAATTTCAAACTTCTGAAGAAATTGAAACGAAATTTACAACCTCCCTGGGCCATCGACCTTCCAGCAACCGATGTCTTAAAAACGCTTAAATATCTGAATAATCATTAGGCGCTTTTCAATGGAAATTTTCAAAGGTCTCGATGAATCCTTCAAACGTCTCGAATGAAGAAGCCAAATTTGAAGAAATTAACCACAATTTCAAAAGGTGGAAAAACATTTTTCTGCAGAAATAGTCCCTGATCAAAATAATGCAGAAAGTCTGCTGGATTCCATAAAGAATCGTTCATATGAAAATTCCCTGTAAACTGATTTAAGCCAAGGTAAAAACCGGATATTATTGGGCAACATGAACTTTACCTAGGAAGAAATCTGTCTTGTTCATTACCAGCCAGCTAATCAGTAGCTGCATGGGCTGACAATGAATGGAAAACACAATCGATTTAAAATTGAGTTTGTAATTCTAATGGCAATTAGTGCGTCGTTCGCTGCCACTGGCTTCCGAAAGGTCAAACTTGAAATAAAGACTTCAAGTGTGTTGGAACTTGTCGAAAAGCGGGTCATTGTATGGTAAGTGGGGGCCTCCCCGTTTAACATAAATTCAGAATCCTGCTGGTTTCGTTCAGTGGAGGGATTGGGGAAGCCAAAGGACAGAAAATAGACGAGGTTAAATATAAAAAGTAACACTTTAATTAAATCGTTCATATAAAATCTGTATATATATATATATATAATATATGCCTTAAAAGATACTAATTAGGCACTATGTAATGGCAAAAAAATAACATCTATTGACGTGAAAACGTGTGCTCCTCATTCTTTTGACTAGACAACAATGTGAGTGCAGCCCGGCCGGAGCGCAGCTCCGGCGGCCTGCAGATCATGAAGAAACCATCGAAAATATATTAGTAAATCTACCTATAACTAACTGTACAGCACTCGCACGCTCAATTTGTACAACGAATTTAGTCAGTCAGTCTTCTGTAAAGGCACTAGTGATTGGGGCAAAATACTGTGTAGGGAGAACAACAGGAACCAGATTCAGGAAATGCAGGCCAATCGGGGGGCTAGTAGCCCTTGTCCAGGCCAGGCCCAGCCCCGCTGCAGCCTCCCTCGGAGTGCTTGGTGAGGAGCGACATCCGCGAGAAGGTTTTGCTGCATCGGGGGCAGGAGTACTTTTTCACGTCCGAGTGGGTTTGCAGGTGCGCCCTCAGGTTGGACCTGTCGGCGAACGCCCGGTTGCAGTACGTGCAGGAGAAGGGCTTTTCGCCAGTGTGGGTGCGGATGTGGCCCTGCAGCAGCCACGGCCTGGAAAAGGCCTTGCCGCAGATGGTGCACTTGCAGGGCAGCGTGTGCGTTCTGATGTGCATCTTGAGCGCTCCCAACGAGTTGTACACTTTGTGGCAGTAGGTGCAGTTGGAGGTTTTCTTCGGCTCGGTGCCCACAGCGCAATGGAACTGTCGATGTTTGGTCAGTCCGGAAAAGGTCGAGTAGCTCTTCCCGCAATCTGGACAGTGGTGTCGGATTCCGGCGCGCTGCCTCTTTTCCGACAAATCCTCCACCTGTTGAGGCGAGGGCGAGTTGTTGGAGCTGTTGGGGCTCAACGAGCTCTGGTCCACGCTGGAGTAGACGGTGGGGCGCAAGGCCAGAGGCTGCACAGGCATCTGGTGCGGAGGCGACAGCGAGCTGTCGCTGTAGGGCGAGCCTGGGGGCACGTACATGTGGCTCTCATAGTAGGGGTAGGCGAGCGGGTAGTAAACACTGCGGTGCCAAGTCTGGGGCGCGTACTCCGGACTGAAGGGCGTGTAGCCAGGGGGCGCAAACCGCGGCTCCACCTTGATCGGCTGCTGGTAACTCACAAAACTCGGCTCAGGCGACAGCCTGGACTCCGGCGGAGGACTACGCAGACTGCCAGTCCTGCTCAGATCCTCCGGCTTGGTCGACAGGTTCTCAGGCTCATCACTGATAAACACCACTGGGCGCTTCTTGAGCGGGCAGTTTTTCGCTAACCTCAACCCGGCTGAAGGCATGGCTTGTCTCTTCCAATCACTTTCTCACTAACAATAATCCAATAACACTACTCGGGACGGGACGGGGTCCTTCGATCGGCTACTCGCTCACTTCCAACCGCTCTGAACGACTAGTCGCTGAACTATGGGCAACAGCACTCAGAGTACCGTGGTTATTAACCGTGTCCCCACCACTAGCGGGTCCACGTGCCGCTGGGCCAATCACAGCCGGGCTGGCCGGTGGCGGCCAATCAGCAGCCGGGGCCCAGTGGAAGGGGCAAGCAGGTGTGCTGCTCCCAGTGAAAACAGTATTGTCTTCGGTCGGTGGATGGTGCCTGCTTGTTTTTTCCAGTTGACATGGTGCACCAGATTTCGCGCGGTTGCGTAATCTGGTTGCAAGGACTGGCGCAACTGGGCTTTGTCTTTGCGCGCTATTAAGACATTACTTCAAACTGATAACGTATCGAAATGTGTGTTGTGGCTGTCGCTAATGTCGGCCCACGGCTTCGGACACACTTTTTCCAATCTCCCTTGGCCAGTTTATGCATTTTAGGGGCCACATGAAGTTGGGACTAAAGCGGAACCTAGGTATATGTTAAGGTTGGTTTTACCCAAAAAGGTGGAAGCCACTCAAGTTTTCTCTCTCTGACTGATCATGTATGCAAAGAGGCAGGAAAAAACCTTTCCATTTAGCACCGTAATCCGGGATTAATACGAATCTTCCTTTTGATCCTAGCAAATCTTTTTGCTAATGTTCCGATTTATTCAGCTTTGAAGCAACTGCTAAGGAAAGTCCTTTTACAGAAGCTTCTACGTGATATATTTTGTACTGTTCTATTATATTTTGCTTTTTCACCATTGTCCACTATAGTTAGTACCTACGTACTATATGTTGAAGTATTTTCTTTTGTTTTTTTACTCGTTTTGTCCATCAAATTTGTGAATTTTTCCGCGTCAATAAAGCATATTTTGATTTGATTTTATTTGGGATTACGATTATAGTCGAGCCTCCCTGGCGATACGAAAAACAGTTTGAAACTGGCCAGTTCTTTAGGCCATATCTTGCCCATCAAAGGACAAATCCGAAAAATCCCAGAGGAAACCTTGCAAGTCCAACAAATAGCTCAGTTGGGATCGCAACCACATTGGCTTTTCCAGGCAAACAAGGAGTTTCAATTTTTTCACAAACTGTTTGTTGGGCATTTTGCCCTTAAAAACCTGAAGGAATCCATTCCCAAGAGGGTGATGGCTAAGTTGGTAAGTCGGTTTTTGGTTTTTGGAATTTCGGCTGACGCCGCCCCTGCCGCCGGGTCCCACGGCCGATTCGGCTGGACGTACCGGCGTTGTGTTGTCTTCGTCTGACACGTGCGGTAGGTGCTGAGAATCGAGCGCGCGTGTCGTGATTTGCGTGGCACTGGCGCAAGAGGGACGCTGGAAGCGCACAGGGCTGGACTTGGGACCAGGATTTTTCATGCACATTAATTAATTGGTGCCAATTTGGAAACTTTAATTTTTTATTTGTTTGATTTCTGGAGTTCTATGCAAACTTTAACAAGTTGTCAACAGTTTCTTACTCAAAACGAAAAAACCTTCAAAACAAGGTTTAAACTGGTGGAGTGGTAGGGAGGAATTTTCAGTTCCGACCTGCAAAATTTCAAGTTTTCCTTTGTGTCAGTGGCGGAGGAATCGATTGGTTTCAAATAGGCTACACAATGAAAAGTTGTGCTTTCGAGCGCTCTTTGAATGGGCAGTTTTTCAAAACTCTCTGCAGATGGACAAGGTGTAAACTGGTGGAATCGTAGATTGATATTTTCAGTTTCGACTGTCCAACTTAGGTTATCTAAAGTGCCTTAAATTGAGAAGTTCAAGTGTGAAAATATCAGTCTTCCCACCCGATTACCAGTAGGTATGATGGGCAAAACGGCCCAGCTGTTCCATCTCCCGATCCATAGCCGGGATTTGAACGTTGGCCGACTGCAAGGTGCAGATGTGTGCTGCCAAAGGTGCACTTTTACTCAAATCGCAGCGGCTCAACCCCTGACCCGTCGAGTACATTTCTGCACATGTCAACTTGGCCAGGTGTGAAGAGGGGCGCGATCGGGAGGAGGAGCCCCCCGCTCCTCGGTGATCTACCCCTTGTATAGGGGTGTTATTCGAACGTGTAACGGTCTTTTTTCCAATAAGGTGCAGCTGTCGCGCGACTATGAAGTAAACGCGTGCCGTCAGTGGATCTGGACCCAGTGGCAGCCCCATAGGGGTTTTCCAGTTAGATGGAGATTTAAGGAGAACTAAAAACCTCGACGATTCCAAAGGCTTTGAGCCTTTCAAGCCAATGGCTGCCTCAGAAAAGATGGAGCGGTTTGGAATTTTTTGGGTTTTTCAACACCTTGTATATGTCTCGAGAACAGTGGCGTGCGAATTTTTGCAAATCTAAATTCATATGCACCAGATGATAATCAAACACCTTGCGCTTGCAAGACGTTGCAAACACTCTGTACATGCCTAAATTGCCGAGTAGTGAACAGACGGTTTATAAACTTCTTAACAAATTGCACCTTAACAGCTTCTACAGGGTGTGAAATGAAACACTGCAAGTTGCAAATTTCTGAAACTTCCGCATGCTCCCAGTTCGATATAAAACGTTTTGTTTGCTTTCAAGATCAAATGTTTAAAGATGGACATCCTATCTTAAACAGGTTGCTCAATTTTTTATAAGGGGACTTCTGGGGCTCAGAGTGCAAAGCATTTCCGTTCTGAGATCGACTGAGACTGAACATCGAGAGCACCACTTTTAATGCAACCCTGTATGCTGAATTTTTGTCTTGAGTGGATTACGAAGTTTGGCCCAAGGGAAAGCTGACGTATCAAGTTCCGAAAACACTCCTGAATTAATCCTAAAACCCCGTTTGTAAGGGAATCTGCATTGTTTCAACTGATTTTCACTGCTCAAAGAATTCACTAAAACCGTGGAATTTTGCCCAATATACTGGGTGTTTGCGTTCCAAGAAAAGCTCAAATTACTCACCCAACCAACGTAGTTTTTGCGATGTTAAGGCCACTTCACACGTAAGATTAAAGACAATCATTAGCGTTAGACATTTTCACGGTCGGTTTGCTTTGGCCGGGACTTTTCATCTCCTTTAACGGGATTGGTGGATATTGATGGGCGCTGATTCGGCTTAATGTTTTCCGCGGTAGCGCCGACCATTACCGGCGATTTATTTTCCGAAGTGCTGGGAAAATCGGCCAGAATATTGTTCAGCATAATTATTGATAGCGGAACCGGTTGCAAGCTGGAGATCCCGGGAAAAGAGATTTCTCGCGCAAGTTTGAATGCCGCCAAGTGGAACCATAATGATAATTTATGGGGCCGGTTGATCGAACGGGCGAAAGTGAGTGCGGAACGTATTCAATTACATTCAATCAAAGTCATTTGTTGAAGTGCCCGAAACGGTACCTCCTGATTGAACGGCAAATGGTTGAAATGTTGCACTTTGCCTTGATTGCGGCTCCATTAATCACCGCGCGAGGTGGACAATTTTCGAAAAAGCCACGCAAAGCGCAAATTGATTTCGGAACGTCACAAGTTGCTGTCCAATTCCGATTGATTATTATTCAAATCATAAATCTAACGCAAACGTTGTGGCACATAATAAATTAAGTTGTGGTACCGGAGCCCCGAGTACCAACCACGAATATGGTAAATCTTAATTACGAGAAGTATTTAAGCCGGTACCGCGCCTCGGCTTTCCATCGGCAATAAAAACCGAAACTGGTACATGTTTTCAGCTGGGTACTAATTGGGAATTTTGCCGTCTTCCTCAAAACTAGCTGCTGCGACTGAAGACGACCAGAATGACCAATTATTTGCTGCTAAAGACCGCAAGTTCCCCTCAGCACGCTTAAGACATGTCGCGGCATCCGTTTGGGCGTATGGCGCTTACACGCCAAGCCAGTCCATTACTTATGCAAATTTTTTCGGTGAGAAGGCGTTCAAGATTATGCATATAACATTCGTGGAATTCGGCGCAATTATTATTCCTTCCGCACAAGTGGCATGTTATGGCGCGCGGTCTTGAACCAACAACCAGAACCCGGTTGACATTCACAGACTAAATCTATTCTAGATTTTTCAACAAGAGTGAGTCACAGAAGCAGTGCCTGAGTTCAGTTAGAATTCAGCTGGGRGTTTTTGGGAAAAACGCTCAAAAGTCCAACWTTYCTTTAAGTTGAGTGCTTGAAGCCAACTGATGCCTCMGCCACTTACACRAAGGAAAACTCGAAWTTTTTACKGCCGRAACAGAAAATSTCAACMTACAAMTSCACCTGGTTAAATCGGTTTTATCTTCAGAGGATTTTTGAAAAAATGGCCATTCAATAGAGCGCTCAAAAGCTCAACTTCACATTATGTATTCTATTCGAAACCCATCGACTCCTCCGCCACTGAGGCCAAGGAAAGCTGGAAATTTTGACAGTCGAAACTGAAAATATCAATCTACGATTCCACCAGTTTAAACCTTGTCMATCTGCAGAGAGTTTTTGAAAAACTGCCCATTCAAAGAGCGCTYGMAAGCTCAACTTTYCATTGTGTRGCCTATTTGAAACCAATCGATTCCTCSGCCACTGACGCAAAGGAAAACTTGAAATTTTGCAGGTCGGAACTGAAAATTCCACCCTACCACTCCACCAGTTTAAACCTTTTTTTGAAGGTTTTTTCCWTTTRAGTAAAYAACTGTTGACAACTTGTTAAAGTTTGCATMGAATTCCAGAAATCAAACAAATAAAAAATGAAAGTTTYCTGGTCCCAAGTCCAGCCCTGTGCGSTTCCAGAGTCACTCTGGAGCCAGTGCCACGCAAGTCASGACACGCGCGCTCGATTCTCAGCGCCTACCGCACGTGTCAGACAAAGACAACACAACGCCGGTACGTCCAGCCGAATGGGSCGTGGGCCCCGGCGGCAGGGGCGGCATYAGCCAAAATTCCAAAAATCAAAAACCGACTTACCAACTTAGTCATCACCYTCTTGGGAATGGATTCCTTCAGCCAGTAGACCGACCMGCGGCTCAAGTCCCTCTGTCTCTCAAGTYTCTCATATATATCAATCAACTTTAGACAAATTTGTTTGTGCATTGGCTCGCAATC